AACACTTTGAAGAGCATGAGTTTATTGTCTTAATGGATGTCTTGGAATGTAGGAGCTTGAGTTTTTTTATTATTAATATTTTCAGGTGCACAAAACAATGTAATAGTTAGACATTTCACCCCTCACAAAATGACAACACCCCTCCTTCAATCCACCTCCCCCAAACCCCAACATCATACATATCTATTGGGTTGTCGGAAAAGTCATGACATATTTTTTCTATGTTTTTTGTTGCAAAAATGCGTCATGACTTTTCTGACAACCCAATATTACAATTCCATTGACTCCACTCCCTACACTATACTCCACATCCCATGACTATATATGAGTGTATGTCAATTATAGTTGACATACAATATTATTCAGCTTCAGCTTTAGGTGTACAGTGCTGTGGTCAAGCATCTACACCGTCCATGAAGTGGTCTCCCTTAGAAGACATGTGTCCATTTGACACCCTACAAAATATTTACAACATTATTGATTATATTCCCCAAATTGTCTTTCATATCTCTGTGGCAATATTGTAGTTACTAATTTATACTGTCTAATCCTTTCCCCTTCCCCTTCTCCCTCATCCCCAACCCTCTCCCATCTAGCAACCCTGAGTTTTTTCTCTATATCTCTGAGACTATTTCTGTTTACTTTGTTCATTTATTCAGCTCTTTAGATTCCACATATAAGTGAGATCATATGGTATTTGTTTTTCTCCAACTGATTTATTTCACTTAGCATAATGTTCTCTGGGTCCATCTATATCGTTGCAAATGGTAAGATTTTATTCTTCTTTATGGCCAAGTAATACTCCATTGTATAAATGTACCAGAGTTTCTTAATCTAGTTGTCTACCGATGGGCATTTTGGTTGTTTCCAAGTCTTGGCTATTGTAAATAGCACTATAATAAACATAGGGGTGCATATATTTTTTCAAATTAGCATCTTGGATTTCTCTGGATGGATACCTAAGAGTGGAACTGCTGGGTCATAAGGTAGTTCTATTTCTAGTTTTTTGAGGTACCTTAATACTGATTTCCACAGTGGCTTCACCAATCTGCAGTCTCACCAACAAACAGTGCACCAGAGTTCCCTTTTCTCCACAACCTCACCAGCACTTGTTGTTTGTTGATTTATTGATGATAGCCATTTTGACCGGAGTGAGGTGGTATGTCACCGGAGTGAGGTGGTTTTTATTTGCATTTTTCTAATGATTAGTGAGGTTTAGCATTTTTTTCATATGTCTGTTGGCCATCTGTCCTCTTTAGAGAAATGTCTCTTTAGGTCCTCTGCCCATTTTTTAATTGGGTTGTTTGTTTTTTTGGTGTTGAGTTGAATGAGTGTTTTATAAATTTTGGATATTAACCCCTTATCAGANAAAATGTCTCCAGGTATTGCCCAGTGTCCCCTGGGAGGGGGATGGACAAAAATCATTCCTGCTTAAGAACCACAGATACACATACATGCATATATATCAGACATATACATATATGTGAATATGTATGTGCCTATAAGTGTGTGTCCATATCCATACATGTATACACATGTCAAACTTATGTATGTATGTATATATACAGACACACACATGATAGTGGGTGATAAGTACTGTGGGGAATCATGAGCTTAAATGCATGAGAGTAACTGGGGACCAATATTATGTGAAATATTCAGGGATGTCCTCACCAAAAGGTGAGATTTTAAGGAAGTGAGGGGTAACCCTGCAGGTAGTTGGGCCAAGAGCATTCCAACCAGGGAGAACAGTAAGAGCAGATGCCCTGGGGCAGAGATCAGGCAGGGCAGGAGAACTGCAAGGAATGCAGAGTGTTGGGCTGAGAAGGAGGAACTGAGAAGTTGTTGGATCTTTACCACCATCACCACCACCATCATTTCCACCACCATCATTACCACCATCATCATCTTCACCAGCATCATCTTCATCTCCACCATCCTTATCACCACCATCATCACTACCACAATCTTCACTACTACCACCACCATCACTACCATCATCATTATCTCCACCATCATCACTACCATCATCATAATCACCATCATCTCCACCATCATCACTATCGTTATCACACCATCACCACCGCCACCATCATCATTTCAGAAATACTTGGGCATTTTGTCTTTCTTATCAATAGATGAAATAGCTAAGCCAGTAAAGACTGCACCCATGACTGTATCTATTTGTGTGTGTGTGTATTTTTTCCTCAGGTTGGCGGGTTGTTACCTCACTCCCATTTGCTGTAAGGACCTCTCTGCTGTTCTTATTAGCAATGAAAAACTAAAGACCCTGAAACTAGGGGACAATAATATACAAGATGCTGGTGTCAAACAGTTATGTGAAGCTTTGAAGCATCCTAACTGTAAACTAGAGAATCTTGGGTGAGTGTCCACTGATTATCTTTAAGGGAAGACTTTCCTATTTCAAGAATAGGAAAAGCTGGATGATTAATGGGACTGAAGGGAAGCAGGTTTAAAAACAAGTGTGTCTGGAACAATTTGGTAAGTAAAATGCTCTCCTGTGAAACCAGGGTTTCTCAACCTCAGCATTATTGATATTAGAGAAAGAATAGTTCTTTGCTGTTGTAGGGAGGGAAGACTGATCTGTGCATTTTAGGATGTTTAACTGCATCCCTGGCCTCTTTCTACCCATGAGATGCTAGTAGCACTCCCCAGGTGTGTCAAATGTCTCCAGACATTGCTACATGTCCCCCAGGGGACAAAATGACCCCAGTTGAGAACCATAGATCTAGACTATAAAGTCTCCTGCTCAGAGGCATGGAAGTGGCCTCTCACAATGGCGGTTTCTCACAAAGCTGGAGTGGTTTCTGGTGTGTTTCCCTCTTGCAGGCTGGAACTATGTCAGCTCACCACTGCCTGTTGTGAGGACCTGGCCTCGGCTCTCACTGTCTGCAAGTCACTGAGGGGCCTTAACCTGGACTGGAATAGCTTGGACCATGATGGGGTGCTGGTGCTGTGTGAAGCCTTGAGCCACCTGGATTGTGCCCTGCAGCTGCTCGGGTAAGTGGATGCTCCCCATGGTGGTGAGTGACTTCAGAGCGAGGTTAGTCTACTGTAGGTAGGTTTGCCCAGTCTTGATATGACTGATATGTGGGCTGCAGAGTTCTCTGTTGTGGGGGGCTGTCCTGTGCATTGCAGGATGTCGAGTAGCATCCCTGGTCTCTACCTGCACGTTGCATACATGTAGCACTTCCCTCCAGTCATGACGATCAAAAACGGAAACTTCGAAGTTGCTGAGAGACAAGATCTTAATTGTCCTCAACAGGAAAAAAAAGCTATAATTATGTGATGTGATGGAGGTCATCATATTACAATATATAGGTGTATCAAGTGAACGCTGTGTACACCTTAAACTTACAGTGTTATATCAATCACACCTTAAACTTATACAACGTTATATGTCAATCACATCTCAAAAAACCTTTTTTTTTTTTTGCCTTGGGGAAATGCTTTTTTTCTATCTTTCATTATTTTCTTTTTTTTTAAAAGATTTTATTGGGGAATTGGGGGGGAGGGGAACAGTGNCAAATGGCAATATTTTTTTCCTATCTTATGGCAGAATAATATCCCCACAGCAGTTAGAATGACTATCATCAATAAGGCAAATAATAACAAGTGTTGGAGAAGCTGTGGAGAAAAAGGAACCCTCATACACTGTTGGTGGGAATGCAGATTGGTGCAGCCCCTATGGAAGGCAGTGTGGAGGTTCCTCAAAAAATTAATAATAGAATTACCATATGACCCTGCAATCCCTCTCCTGGGTATCTACCCCAGAAATCTGCAAACATTCAACTGTAAAGATACATGTGCTCCAATGTTCATTGCAGCTTTATTTACTATGGCCAAGACATGGAAACAACTAAAGTGTCCTTTGATAGATGATTGGTTAAAGAAGATGTGGTATATATAGCTTCTTTAGTATTCATCAACCCCCAGGATGCTGGTAAGATTGTCAGCTTTTAACCAAGTAATTTCCCAGCAGGTATTTTCCCATGTTTTGGAATTTTCTTTTGCGTTTTAGCATCTTCAGGTGACAGCTCTATTACACTGAGAGCCATTGTTCGTCCACCCGTGAATGACGTAAAGAGCTTGTTTTGTTCTTTAGATTCCACATGTAAGTGAAACCATATGGCATTTGTCTTTCTGTCTGACTTATTTCCTGCCAACACTTCCATCTTGGTTTGTCTCCTTTCCACAAGATTGTAGATCTCCAGAGAGCAATGACTCTTGATTGCATGTTCACCCTATGGTTGTCTTCCCACCATGTCCCCCATTCACTCGGTGCTGACTGCCGGCCTAGAGCTCGAGTCCACTGCAGCTACCTGGCCAGTGTGTCATGATGTTTTCAGTGATGAGGTAGCTGGGTGGGCGGTGGGGGGAAGAAGGGGGGTGCTGACCTTGCTGTCCTTCTGATGCCCCCATTTCTCACAGGCATCTCCAGCTATTAAGGTCATCCCCTGTCTTTATATGGTAGCACTTCTCCCTGTTGGCAGTGTCGGCCTGTCTCATCCTGACTGTGACTGACCGTGTCCTTCTATGCTCTAAGTCCCACCCCCTGTCCTCAGCTCCCTCCATCTCTGGACTGGAAGTGTGTTGGATGTTGCTCACACATTTAGGGAATTCCTCTGCCAGGAATGGCCACAATGCTTCCAAGCTGTCGCGTAATTCTCCAGTCTGTTCTCATCTGTCTTTTTTTGTTTCTGGCCTATTCCTAGTCCCCACTGTGGTGTTTGAACATGGTAGAACATTTACTTGTTATGCTTTCTGTCATTTCTCAAAGTTGACTGGGAGGGCAGAAGTCAGGGTGTGCTCAAGTTTGCTGTCACTATACCAGGACTCACAGATTCTGTGGCATGTATTTATAAATCATATATAAATAAAATACAAAAATAATAAAATATAAAAAATAAATATATGAACATATGTAAATATATAAAAAGTACAAAACTGAAAGCAACAAAGAAGACAAAAAAACAAAGAAAAACTTGTAGACACAGACAACAGTTTAGGGGTTACCAGAGGGTAAAGGGGAAGGGGAGAAGAGGGAAAAGAGGGGGCCAAATATATGGTGATGGAAGGAGAACTGACTCTGGGTGGTGAACACTCAATACAATATATAGATGTTGTATTATAGAATTGTACACTTGAAACCTATGTAATTTTACTAACCAATGTCATGCCAATAAAATAAATAAGGATAAAAAAATATAAAAAGTATATATAAATGTATATAAGAAGTATACATAAATATATGTGGGTAAAATTTTTTTCTTTTTTTTGAAGATTTTTTTTT